CCCCAAATGCGGGCTTCTTCTGTTCTTTCCTCAAAGCCACCTGAAGAAAGTTTCTTCTGCCTGGCAGGGCCATTTTGCCCCATTTTTATCCACCCGATGTAGCCGCAGCTCACCGTGATGTTTGGGGAAGCAAGAATCCATTTCAAGCATTAACAGAAAACCGAGGCAAACTCTTGCAGTGTCTTTTCTTCGATGCAAAGTGTTGTGGACATGATCCACGTCTTCAATCCAACCTTTTACTGGCTTTCCCGGGGCCAAACATACAATAGTATGATTCATATAAGTTGCCTGAAGAGAGCCGTACTTGATCATAACCGAGAAGGAAAGAAGAGATAGATTTGCAAAATGTTTGCTTGTGATAATTTACACGTCTAGGCACACATTTAGAAATTAGACCGAAATGCCTCGGTCTAATTTAAATACAGTAGATGCATGGTATTTCCCATTCAAGTGTCCAGGGAACCTATGTGCTGGTTGTTGAGTCGGCTGTACAGATGTTTAATAATAATATTTGCTCTTGCTAACAAGGTATTTTTGAGGATCCGTCTTTCTGTTCTTATGGTTCTCTGGCCACAAACCTATTAAAATATCCTGAAATACATGCAATAGTTAACTAAACAGACCGTATCCCTTCAATAATTGTGTATGATGGATTTCTGACCACCATGTGTGGTTGTGAAATCTGGACAGTTAAGAAAGCTAACAGGAAAAAAAAAAGAGATCCATTTGAAACATGGTGCTGGAAGAGAGTTTTGACAATACCTTGGACTGTCAGAAAGACAAATGGGTCCTACGTAGATCAAGCCAAGCCTGAACTATCTCTGGAGGCAAAAATGTTGTATTTGAGGCTGCCCTTCTTTGAGCACATCATGAGAAGGCAGGGTTCTTTAGAAAAGACAATAATGCTGGGAAAAGTGAAAGGCAGCAGGACAAGAGGAAGTCCAAATGTGAGACGGACTGCCTGCCTAAAGGAAGCCATAGACATGTTTGCAACTACTGAACACGGCTGTTCAGAACAGGAAATTTTGGATGTTGCTCATTCATGGGGTCACCATAACTCAAAGGCAACTTGACAGCTCCTAACAACAACAGCTTATGATGTCGGTGTTACTAGAGGATTCTGGCCTTTACTTCTAAATGGACCTCGGGCTGGGTTGGTACAAGAATCAGACTAAGGCATCTCTCAAGTAGAAGACCGTCTGCTGCCAGGCTTCTATAGAAAGACCAGTCTTCTCTAAAGCAAGACAGGGAGCCATCCTAGTTCTAAAACTGGGGAAAAGACAAAACACAGCGCAAAAGCTTCAACATTGTAAAAGTGCAACAAAAGCACAGATTATTAGAATCCATAGGAGTCCTTTGAAAAGGAGCCCTCCCTCTGACTCTCCCTCCCCACCAAGCCTGCAATGGGTTAAATATTCTTTGAATAAACAAAATGGTTATCTATTTATTTTTTGCAACAGTGACCCTCCCCTCTTTGGAAGGCCCTTTGAGGCTTTTTCTATGAAAATGGATTTCTAAAGACAAAGTAGGGATAATGTCTTCTCTTTCACAAATAGCCTGGATTTTGACACAGAAATTGTATGTTCCTGCTGGTGCGATCAACTCAGCAAGGAGAAGGACAGCTGGCGTTCCCTTTGGAGCGCTCTAATTACGATCTTTGGAACTCGGTTTGAACAAATGCCAGACTGGAAGCAAGCGGCATTATGTCCCTCCGTTTCAGCTCTTGCAAGGTTGCCCCTTGGCTTCTCCTGCAGCGAGCAGCATTTGGGTGCCCACATCCGTTGCACCAAAAATGAGGATATTCATCCCAAAGGAGGGGATAATAGAACACAGTGATTTGCATACAATTGCACAAGCTAGTTGATATGGGAAGATGCAAAATGAGATGTGATGTTTGTCATTTAAGCATAACTGCTGTGCATGAATGACCACCTTTGAAAGAGACAGCGTTGCTTCCTGGCAGCCTTTCAAATGGAGGATTGCTCCTTTTAAAACAGGGCTTGTGGCCACCCTACACAAGCCCCTGTATAAGAAGGCCTTCATGAAGGGTAATCTTTAGATCAGTGGCTCTTTATTATGTCTGTGAGCTCCAGGATCAAACCCCTAATCTTCCCCAGTCTGGAGCTGGCACGTACCTTCCTATCCCCTTGTTTTAATAGGAGGAGAAATAACAATAACAACAACAGTGTGCAACATCTAGTGGAGGGGAAGAAACATCCTTCTTCCATCTTAGGCCAAGGCTCATTGATAAAGTTTGGGAAGTTGCCTGTTTCACAAATATTGGCAAAAAAAATTTGGACTACAAGATGTGGCATGGGGATTCTGGGAACTGTAGTCCAAAAAAGGAACTCCCCTCCCCCCCAAGCTCTGTAGAAGTGGCTGCCTTGGAAAGTTCAGACGTTTCATTTGGGTCAAAAACAGGATAGCCATCATATTTGCAGGGTCTGAAGAGCGCAGGAAAGGATGAGTCAACTTTCCCCCAGTTGTCTAGATCGGTTGGATGTATCACCATGCTGGCTGGTGTTGATGGGAGTTGTAGTGCAACAGGTCGAGAGAGCACATGGTCTGATCCAGGGGAAGCTGGTGACTTCCATGTCACAGGGATAGTGAATCCACTCCAGGTTTTAATCCAAACTTGAAAGGTTTGGGGGGGATAGGTTCAGCATCTTGGGTTGCTCATGCAACCTTGCAAGCAATGACCCCAGCAGGTACCAGGCTTCATAGAAAGCCTCTGCTCTTGTGACCACTTGGGTTGTCCAAAGAACTGAGGATGGATGCAAGAAGCAGGGCCTTTTCGGTGATAGCACCAAGCCAGGGAAACACCTTGCTAAAATGTAATTTTCTGTGTGTGTGTTGGAGTGGAGCTTTTGTTGACTTCAGTCCTTTGTACTACTTATTGATTTTAAAATGCTGGTGTCTTACTCATATTTCAACTTAATAGCCACGTTCAGACAATCAGAGTATCTCAATAAGCAAGATACCAAGGTTGGGAACCACTGAACTAATGAGAGGGCTTTTCTATATTAGACCAACAAGTTAGACCCCATCTCTTGAAATATCTCATTGGAATCCTTTTTGACAGGTCTCTGCCCCACGAGGTATGTAGTGTAGACCAAGGGTTAGCAACCTTGGGTCTCCTTGGATTAAAACTCCCAGAAGCCCTTAACCACCAGCTGTGCTAGCCAGGATTTCTGGGAGTTGCAGTCCAAGAACATCCAGGGACCCAAGACTGGGAGCCACTGGTCTAGACAACAATGCAGGATAGAGATGGAAGGGAGGAAAGTAAGATGGGAGCAGCCCAAGGAGAAAAAAAATATGCAGTTATTCCACATTAAAGAAGAGCCACACCAAAGCACAAAATTGCCACTTATTTTATTCTTTCTTAGCAGGATTTAGACAGAAACATATAATAAACCCTATTGAACAACAGAAACCCTTTCTCCCCAGAATATACTTTGATTATTACAATTCAAGAAATGATGATGGAGAAGTAAAGCCTGCTTTTTCTGTCTCTGCAGAGTTAACGGGTAAATGTCCAAAACACCGGAGAATAAAACGGCTTAAAAAACCATGACTTTGCCTCAGGGAAATCCTGAGAATTATAATTCTGTAGTGGGAGCTAGGAAATTCTCAGCTGCCTCACTGAACTACAAATAACTGGAGGATTATTAATAATATCAACAATATTTCCATGTAATAATACCATTTGCATGAGAGTTGCGTGACAGACATCGATGTAACATCCCCAAGTTACTCCCTGGGAACAATACAATTGTTTTCTTTTTCTTTTACAAAAGACGGCTAACGTTTTCAAGCCCTTCTGTTGCAATTTTTTTAAAAGCCCATATTGAAACAGCTAAATTTCATAGCGTTGACCAGTGCTATCCCAAGCTAACCAACATGGGGTCAGGCAGGCAAAGTGTAATGGAAAGCACTTATTAGGTACCTTCACCAAAATAATAATTCTCACGACGCCGTGACTGAATACACCTTTTTAGTGTAGCTACTTTATGCCTGAGGATTTCTGGGTGAGAACATTCAGAATTGAAGCTGAATTTGTGCTTAGAGATATACCTCTTCACCTCTCACCTAGGTAAAACTGGAGCTTGTGTTGGTCTACATGAATTCACTCTAGATCCAGAAGGGAGATACTTTGGCTGTTCAGGTGTTTTGAACTTTAGAAGAACCAAAGGTTCTTGAAAAATATCACAGATACATTCTGTGCACAGGTAGTAAAGCAAATGACAATATTTCTTCTTTTGCTCACCACAAAACAGACCCATGCTTAGTCAGTTAAAGAGAGGACACATTTAAAAATGGATTCAAAGCACTATTTCCCAGAAATCTCCTATCTGCTCCTACCTAGATTTAGGTATCACTGGATTGAGGGTTTCGACATTAGATACATTCAGCTGATGTTCAAAAACTGGAAGCACATTCTTAACAAAGACCAGTAACCCAGCATGCTTGCTTTGGGTTTATCAATATGACGACTTGCTTGTTAATGTTCGTGAACATAGTCATCATTGCTGGGATGCAAAAACTCTGATTTGCTTTTAGCATCCCAAACATTGCAGCATTTTTTTTGCCAGGGCGTGAGAACCAGTTAAGAAACAGATCAGAAATGGATCAGACATGGAAGGTGAAATAGTGCTATGCAACCTCTGTCAAGGAAGGATAGGGAACCCTCCAAAAGCCAGTGGCCAAAAAATCCCATCTTCCCTTACCATTAGCCATGTTGGCCAGGGCTAATAGAAGTTGGTGTGGCATGTTCCTCACCCCCTCATCTTTGTAATGCATTTGCTGCTGAATTCTGCTAAGCTGCCTTCCTAAGCCTTAGGTTTTGAGCTCCACATTTAAACAAACAAAACAATAACACAATTTTGGTGGAATTACACTTCCTTTCTCATCATGGATTCTTTGCCCAGAGTGAAAAGTTGAGAAACTCAAACAGCCTACATGAAGAGAGAGAGAGAGAGAGAGAGAGAGAGAGAGTGTGTGTGTGTGTGTGGTGTGTGTGTTTAAAGCCATAAACCAAATGGAAAGATGACATGATTAAAAATGCAACTGTTAAAGGAAACATAGCAGAAGGAACAACCTTGAGAACAACAAGAGAGTGATGATGGCAGTGTGGGCAGGAAAACTCAAGCTGAACGAACAAGTGGTTATTTCAAGGAAAGGAAAAATATCTTGAGGACAATTCATGAAGCACTAACTCCGACAACATCCTTTTGAGATCGATGGGCAGTGACTCACCACCCATAGACTTCCAACGCTGGGGTCTCTGCCAGTGACGTGCATGCAGGTGAATGCATTCCGGCCCTTCTTCAGCCAAATCAGAGGGGTAATTCACAAAAGCGACTTCTCTGTAACATCAACTATTTGTTCATGTTGATCAGAGTTGATAAAATGTGCTTCTTCTTGCACTAAAACTTGCTGAATCCTCCAGCTAACTGGGCCACTAAATTATGAAGACTGCAGTCCAGAGGGAGAAGGAGAAAGAGGAGGAGGAGTGTGTGGAAGAGAGAGAGAGAGAGAGAGAGAGAGAGAGGTTTATGTATCTGGCTGCAGAGCCAGAGGTTGGGAGTTTGATTCCCTGGAACAACTCCATGATAGGGAATGGACTTGGTGATCCATAGAGTTCCTTTCCAGCTCTGCAGTTCTAAGGTTTATTCATTATTTATTTATTTATTAATAAAGAAAGAAAATGCCCAAGCGTTTCATGAAAAGTCTCCAGAAGAAAGTGAGTCATGCTGTTTTCGAGCGTTTGATCTCAGTGGTGCGTTTAAAGGCATTCTTGCTGAAAACTGGTGATGTTTTTGTATGTGCCAAATTCATAAGCAAGTAAGACAGCTAATATGCCATCTATGCTATTTCTAGCCTTAAAAGATTTCCTGGGCTGACAGAAACCTTATTGTCACTTGTACGATCTGCTCTTTAAATGCACCAGCAGGGAGGAACTGTACTTACCCTCATGACTTACGCATCTAGCTGCTTTTTGCAATTTCAATTACTTGGCCGGTACAGACAACCAGAATTTCCATTCAGTTTTCCCAGTGTCTCCATTTGCTTCACCCAGCATTGCCTTCTTGCCGGGCCCTGCTCGCGTTCATATTCCTGATGTATTTGAAATGATCTGCAGAGACTGGTGGTTATGTCCCAGAGTCAGTAGGGGAGGTCGCTTTGCTCAAGCTTCACAGAAGCTACCCAAGAAGCTGAGTTCTACTCCTCGAAATAGGTTCAGCACCTTAGATAAAATTCATACCAGAAGCTGGAGTGGATTCAACAACCCACCCCACCGACATCAGATCGCTGAACCTCCCCTAGTCTCTGGACCGGTGTGCAAACTACAGCATGCAGACCCTCGTGTAGTACTGGGCAAACCAATTCCCTCTTGATTAAGGAATATTCAGAGGTCTTAATCAAGCTTTGCAGAAACGACTGAACTCAACATATGTACTTGCATATTTACGTAATATGTACTCTTTGCCTACGGATAGAAGAGAGCAGCGTAATATTGGAGAGTGGATTTTCTCTTTTCAGGAGAGCCCAAGACATTTTGCTGCCTGAGGACTCTCCCTCTCCCCCAACAAAGGTCAACATGTAGCATCCTAGGCTAGTAAAATATTAGCACCTTTCTTAGAGGGGCATCTTTCAGTGAGACAAAGCATCTGCCTACCTCTAGCACAGGAGTAGACCCATTGTCCTCAAATGGATTACAGTCATCAAATAATCCTTTTTGTGTAGCATCTGCTGGCTGGAAAGAGTTTTATTAATCTTTCCCAGCAAAAAGGGCAATGAAAATGAATTGCGATGCATATTGTTCTGACAGGGAAATTAAGGCAGGGGTCTTGCAGCCCAAACCTCAATGATGGGGCAAAGGCAGGGTGTTACCTGCTTTCTCGTCCCCGTAGAGAAGCTGACTTGATGGGCAAGCTAATCTTCCTTCACCTCCAGCCATGAGATCATTGTCCTCTAATACTGCAGTTCTCTCTTTGTTCCTCCAGATGTGTTTCACATCTGCTTCCAGAATCCCCAGCCTGTATAGCCAACTAGTGGGGATTTGGGAGTGGACGCCCAAAAACATCTGGAGGACCGAGCCATGGCTCTATGTCACCTAAAGTAGCTGACTAATTTTTGAAATGAGGCAGGGCAGGTTGTGTGTCTGTCTGTTACAGAGGAGAACAGCCGGGGCGTTCAGGAGGAATAGCTAGAAAGCCACCATGGCTGCTGTCAGCATCTGCTGGCTAACCCCATTGACTCACTATGCCAAATGTTAGGGCTGGCTCTGGCCAAAAACCTCCTCCACGTCTATCATGGATCCCTGCTGCATTGCAAAAAGTTCTGTCTATGGAGGGCAGCAACCAAGACACGTAGACCCCGCTAGAGTTGACTTCACTGAATGGAGACCATGTAAAAATCCCCTACTATGTCCTCCATCTGCACCTAGCAAGGAGAGATCAGGCACACTGGGCAAGCCACCTTTCTGAAAAAAATGTGCCTGCCGGTATTGATTTGAGCTCTCTTTCTAAGGAATCATTTGTGCAGATCGGCTTCTTAAGTAACCCCATGGGAATCTAAAAACCCATGGCTTAAACCAGTGAAGCATCTCAATGACTTTGGATCTGAGGCTAAGCTGCTTTCATGAATCTCATTTTCCACTTCCATTCATTTTAGCGCCTAAATTATCTCCGAAGCTCCAGAAGGGAAAGTTGGCCAAACACTTTCACTCATGGGCAGATTTAGGAACAGATAGCTAAATCAGCGGTGACCAAATTCCGGGAGGCCATGGAAGACAGGGGGGCCTGGCATGCTCTGGTCCATGGGGTCACGAAGAGTCAGACATGACTTAACAACAAAACAACAACAAAGCTAAATCAGGATTACAGCCTGCAACACACTCTGCTGTCTGGTCATCTGTGTGATTCTCTCTGCACTGCAACTCACGTAATTTGGATGCTGCGCACAGTTTCAGATGATCCCTGATACAAGTTTGGTTTGCAAAAGGAAGGCAGAGTTCCGAAGGATTCAGAAAGAGGCCAAGAAGGGAGATACTCCCAGTCTTCTCACACCATGATGCAGAGGAAGGAATGTCCTGGCAAGCTGTCGGGAGGCACTGCACGAGAGCCTGGCCATCACACGTGGAGGCTGGTGCCCCCTCCACTACGGAGCGAGGCTTTTGAGATCTCCGTGCTGACCGTAGAAAGGGGAAAGCTCTCGTACTTGTCCTTCTCGTTGCTGCAACTGCAGCGGTAGAGCAAAGCCTTGACTTCCTTCTGGAAGTTGCTGTTGAGGAAGCCGTAGATGATGGGGTTGATGCACGTCGAGGCCATGGCCGTCAGGTGGCAGAGGGAGAAGATGAAGTTGTGGTAGCACACGGAGATTTTTTCGTGGTCCCAGTCATAGAGGGCGTTGAAGACCGTGAGAGGGAACCAGCAGGCAGCAAAAGCCACCACGATGCAAGCCAACATGATGTTGACCTTCCTGTGGCTGACGGCTCTGGAGCCATCTTTGGACCGCTCCAACATGTCCTTGCGGCGCTGGAGGCGCAGGAAGATGCGGAAGTAGCACGCCATGATGAAGAACAAGGGGAGGCAGTACTGGAACAGCAAGAGGAAGGTGGTGAAGGTGAGACGGTGGTGGTCCGACGGCCAGTGCTCGATGCAGGCCAGGTGGTTGGCAAAAGGGTCGAAAGGGAGGCTTAAGTTCTGGAAAGGCTCGTTGGTCAGGATGGTGAAGGAGAGGAAAGGCAAGGAGATGAAGCCGGCCACCACCCAGGTGAGGGCGACAGCCAGGTAGGCGTGGTTGGCCGCCGGCTTCCATCCCGTCGGGTTGATGATGAGCTGATGCCTTTCCAGGGCGATCCAGACCAGAGAGAGGATGGAGACTGTGACGGATACGCACTGAACGAAAGGGCTGGCCTTGCACAGAGCTTCTCCCAAAATCCAGCGGTCCATCAAGGTGTAAATGACAGTGACGGGCATGCAGACGAGGGACATGAGGATGTCGGAGCAGGAGAGGTTGGCGATGAAGATATTGGTGACGTTCCTCATCTCCTTTTGCTGAACGATGACGCACACCAGGCAGAGGTTGCCAATCAGCCCAACGGCAATGATGGCGCTGTAAGATACGATCAGGAAGGTGCCGTTGCCCACTGAATCGCTGCAGGACATATCGCTTTCCTCCAACAGGCTCAGCTGCTCCGAGAAATTCAGGTAGAGGAGATTCATCAGGTGGTCCATCACCCTTTCCTTCCTGCTGAGTTTCTTTGACCGGTGAACAGTGGTAGGATACTGGACCACCTCCCTACGAAACTCTGTCCTCGACTGGGAATTATCCTGCGCAAAGGAAGAAGACATATGTTGATCACATGCATATCCTGCTCGTCCTCCGGGAAACCTCAGGGATTACATACTGGGGATGCACATGTGATTCCTCCTGGACAGATTCCAGGTATTGATCAGTGTTGCCTATCTGCCTAGCTTCGGGCTGCATCAGCTGCTTCCAGCCAGCAGATCGGAGGGTTTGCTCTTCCAGCTACTTTGAAGCCGCAGCCAACATTAAGCGGAAGCCCAGAACATCTGGAGCTGAAACCCAGAACATCTGGAGCCCCAAATGTAGGGGGCTATTGCTTCAGACCTTCTCCTGGCTCTCCCCACCCACCCCAGTCATAGATTTCAGTCCAATCCTCTCTGATCCCTTCTTATCCAAGAATATTAGAGTGGTGGTGGGGGGGGAGTATTTATTAGAAGCAGCAAAAATACCATTCCATGTTTTGAAGCAGCATTTCTTTGGGGGATGGTTGCTATTTCTGTTTAGCCAGAGTGGTCGAACAGACCAGATGGGCGGGATACAAATCAAATCAAATAAATCAAATAAATAAATATTTAGGCATCAGATCTTACAAGCTGCCCATGATTGCTCTAGGGCACTGGGGGGGGGAGAGAGAATTTCTCAGCACTTTTTGGGTCTGTGAACTGGCATTCTCTGCCATTTTTGGGGTGTGTGTGTGTGTTACTGCTTCACCCCTGCTTGTGCACAATATGTGCATATTACTTGTTTGTTGACGTGAACCCTGCAAAAATGGCTGCAGTCGTGTTTTATGGCACACCACCCTTTTCCAGCACTCAAACATTGCTTCTCCTTCTCCCTCTCTCTGTCCCGCCTTGCAAAGAGAGCCCACCAACGTTGCGCACCTATAGTCATGTTCACAAGCCCCTTGTCTCTCCCTCAGACCTGGTACCCCATCAAAAAGAAACACCAAGAGAAAGGGCATCGGTCCTTTTCTTGGTTGATCGCCTAAGGCAGTTATCGCTCACCACAGGTGAGTAGCTGTTTAGCAAACCTGTGATAGCCACTGCTTTGTACAGTGTGGTTGCCATTAACAAATACCTGTAGTGCATAGAGCCTGAAGCAACAAGCAAGAAGGCATCCTCATATTTATTTATCCCCTTTGGGCAGCATCTCTACTGCTTTCTTTCCAGGTTGAAATCTGACCCGAATCTGCACCAGTGCCTTTGTTAGTAGTATGGTGGAGCCTGTGCTCACGGGGTCAACATCCCTGAGGGCCTTCAGATTAGCAGGGAGTGCGGCATCCTCCGCCACCCCTTCAGAGTTTAGCTGTTTCTTCTGCACTTAGGTGCTACCCTCTCCGTAGGGGAGATAGAAATCCTCCCAGGAATAGTCTATTTCTTCCAGTCTATCACTCTTTTAAGCTAAGAATTGGAGGGCAGTTTTGTCTTAGACAGGCCGTTAAGAGCCATTAACGTTACAAAAGCCCTGCTCCGTTCTTTCTATAGGGACCAATCCAGCTGGCTGCATGTTTGGACTCTTCTCCTCTGTGGCTGTGTTACCATTACCACCACCACCACCCCCGCCTGGCCATGCTTGCCACTCCTTCCCTGGCCAGAAGGACTGGACGGACCTTCAGGCCAGGGGGAGCCCACCTCCCTCCTGCTGGTCCTGCCCAACCCACCCAAGGCTTGAAGGAAAACGCTGGGAAAAGGGTCGTTCTCGCATCCTTATTCATAAGTGCCCTCAATCTGTCTAAAAACAGAGGGATGGGCAGAGGGGTTGAAGCCCGCAGGAGCCCCTTGGGAGGCTCCCACCCGGGAGGGCAGGTGCCCCCTTCCTCTCTCCCCCCTCCCACCTGCCCACACCTGCAGCCCCGCCAGGCCACCTGCCTGGGTCTCCGTGGGAGAGGGATCCCCGGAGCTCCTTTTCCCAGCCACGGTGGGAAGGCAGCGAGAGCGGCCGAGGGCGAGGGGGGGGGCTTCTCATAGTCGGCCAGGAGGATTCCTCCCTGACCCACTTGGGGCGGCCGGCGGGGGACCCGGGATCACCAAAGCCGGCGGCCGGAGGGGGGGGCAGGTGACGTCACTNCCCGACCCCACCCCGCATGCTCGCAAGCCGCCGCGGACTCACCTGATGCTGAACTAGTGCATGGCCCGGAGCGCAGCCCCGCAGCTCCCTCTCGCTCGCTCTCCCTCCGTCTCCTCCACCGGCTCTGCGGGGAAGGATGCCGCGCGAGAGTCCGCACCCCCTCCTCTGCCACACGTGCCTGCGCCTTCCTCCTCCTCCTCCTCCTCCTCCTTAAACACGAGATGCTCCAGATTTGGGGATGCGGAGAGAGGAAGCACCGGCGGCCGGCTTAAGAAGACGCCCCCATCCCAGCACATTCCCAGACCCCCCCCTCCCAACTCCACCCTTGGGGGAGGAAAGC